TGCCCCCCTGGTGTTGTCACCCTGTGGGGAGGACGTTGGGGGGTCCCTGTTGTCCCCAGGGCTGCTCCCTGTTGCCCCCCTGGTGTTGTCACCCTGTGGGGGGACATTGGGGGGGCCCTTCTGCCCCCAGGGCTGCTCCCTGCAGCCCCCCTGGTGTTGCCCCCCTGTGGAGGGGACATTGGGGGGGCCCTTCTGCCCCCAGGGCTGCTCCCTGCTGCCCCCCTGGTGTTGTCACCCTGTGGGGAGGACGTTGGGGGGTCCCTGTTGTCCCCAGGGCTGCTCCCTGCTGCCCCCCTGGTGTTGCCCCCCTGTGGGGGGACATTGGGGGGGCCCTTTCTGCCCCCAGGGCTAGTCTCTGCTGCCCTCCCCCAGTGAATTGCCCTTTGCAGGGGGATCCTGGGGAGATTCCTTCTGCCCGAAGGCTGCTCTCTGTTGCCCTGCTAGTGAATTGCTTCTTGGGGGGACATCGGGAAGGTCCCTTCTGCCCCCAGGGCTGGACCCTGCTCCTCCCCTGTTCAACCGCCCTTTGTGGGACGCATGGGGGAGGTCCGTTTTGCCCCAGGACTGGTCTCTGTTGCCCTCTTGGTAATTTGCCCTTTAGAGGGATGTTGGAGAGGTCCGTTCTGCCTCTAGAGCTGGTCCCTGATATCCCCATGGTGTTGACGTTCGTTGGGAGGGGCGCTGGGGGAAGATCCCTTCTTCCCCCAGGGCAGGTTCCTGTTGCCCCCATGCTGTTGTTGCCCCTTGGTAGGGGTCTTGGAGGGTCCTTTTCACTCCTGGAGCTGGTCCCTGTTGCCCCTGTGGTGGTGTTGCCCCTTGGAGGGGGGGTATTGTGGGGGCCCTTTCTTCCCCAGGGCTGGTCCCTGTTGCCCCCGTGGTATTGTCATCCTTTGGGGGACATTGGGAGGTCCCTTCTGCCTCCAGGGCTGGTCTGTGTTCCCACCATGGTGTCACAGTTCCTTAGGAGGGTACTGGGGGGCTCTGCCCCCAAACTAACCCTTATTACCTCCTGTGTCCCCTAGCCCCTCAGGGGGAGCTCAGGGGCTCCTTCCTGCCCTGCCTTCCAGTTCAAACCTTGCCACCCCTGTGGCGTCAGAGCCCCTGTGGCAGATTCCTGGGATGTTGGGAGCCTTTTTTTTGTCCCTTCTTTCTGGGGCTGGTCCCTGTTGTCCCTGGGGAATCGCAGTCCCGGAAGGGGTCCCAGGGATCAGGTTCCCCCACCAAGGCTGGCAGGGGGCAAGAGCAGCTGGGCCTGGCGCTTCTGGGCTTTAACCTGTCGTTTCTGTCAGTTGCCAGCGAACCTCCAGCCCCGGCCTTGGCTCTCGCTGCCCGCGACACCACCACACTGCAGACAGGTGAGTTGGCTGCGCCAGATCCCCGCAGCATGGGAGCAAACGGCTCCAGGCGTCCTCTGTAACAACGAGCAACTGGTGACCGCGTTGGGGAAGCACCACCTCCTTGCTGGTGGCAGTTTGCGCTCTCTCCTAGTTAAGGCTGTATACTGGAAGATAGGCTCTTACTGGAGATGCGTGCCCTGGGGAAGATGGAGGCGCGTGCTGCTGATCGCCAAGCCTTAACACCATGGCTGGGCTGCTGTGGCTGACTTTGCACGTGGGGTCTTAGCTTGACCCCTAAGAGCAGAGTTGTTGATCTGCTCTGGGCCTACAGCTCCAACTTGTGTTTGCGAGCACCAAAACTCCCCAAGGGTGTTTGGAGGCAATTTCCGACAGGGAACTTCTGCCGTTTAGTTTTATACGCTATGGCGGTAGTGCTTGCATAGCTTCCTTCCTTCCTGCCTTCCTCTGTGCTGCAGAGGTGGAGTTTTGGGTTGTATCTGTGTTGATCTCTTTTTGCAATGCTGAATTATTTGTGTTGGCAGTGGTATCTCATGGCAATGAGTTCCCCAGGCTCCTTGTGCTGTTCACTCATTCACGTTTAAAGTGCTTTCTGTTGATTCTCATGCTCCTCACCTTCTGGCCACAGTGTCCTCGTCCTTGGGAGTGCTATGCCACACTGCATTTGGGTCCTGTTCCCTCTTCCTCCTCCCTGAGCCCTGTTGTTTCCTCTCTCCAGGTAGCTGTGAGCTGTGTCCCTGCCTCCTGGGGGCACAGCACAGACACCCCTGACCCGACCCATTGAGGAGCTGGGTGCGTTGGGAGCCTCCATCCCTGTAGTAACTGGACGGGGAAAGGGGAAATGCTGCGGGCTGAGGTATCCAGGATGGCACCCATTAACCACAGTCAATTAGGCCCTGTCTGCACTTTGCGTGGGTTCATGCTGTCCCTTATTTCTGTGTAGGGCTTTTCTCAGTGAGATGAACTACTCAGACTGTGCCACAAGGTGTCCGAGTAGCTTGGGTTTCTCTCTGCGATGCGCCAATTAAATCGGGTGGCATCTCCCTGTCTGTGTCCCGCCGACTGCTGAGGAGTTTGTAGAGGAGGCAGAGCCATGTGTCACAGGCTGTTGTGTCTGGGCCAGAGCTTTGCTGTGGGACGTTTATGAAAAGCAATAGCTGAGTGGTGGATGCTGTGTCCCTCAAAGAGATAATGTGGACATTGGTGTGTCAGTAGCCTGCTAAGGATGCTCTGAACTGGGGGAGGGACGGGAATTTGGATAGCCATTTAATTGCAGGTGGGAAGCTTCTTAATTAGTGTAATCGTTAGGACCTGTCAGGCTCCCTGTCAGCTTTCTAATTAACCAAAGCTCTCCAGAACTCTTTCCATCAGCAGATTTCAAGGCATAGGGAGGTGAGGTGAATTTTCCAAGTCTTGGCAAACCAGAGGTGGAGAAGCCAAGTTCCCTGAGTCACAGTCTAGCGCCTCCCACTGTAAGGGGCATGTGGGGGGAAAGCTGTTAGTTGTTGAAGATTTAACTGAGGGTTTAAACTATCTGACAACTTCTCAGGGGAGAGGAAAGGCTCCTCTGGAGCTGGAAACTACAAATGAGGTTGCCATAGTCCAGGTCTGATGAGAAAACTTTCCTTAAATAGAAGAGGCTCAAACGAGCCCAGTGTGACACATGTGCAGGAAGGATCCGGCGTTAATAGAGACACAAGGCCACAACCAAGGGCCATATGGGTCTCCCAGCATGACAAGGGAGCTGGAAGTAAAGGTGAGGGGCTCTCAGTAGGTTGAAAAAGCACCTGACACTGTGCAATACTGCTTTTGTCTCATTTTGCTCCCTATTGCTCTTGCTTTACATAGCCCAAATGTGGCCTGGTCGCTGCACGCCAGCAGGGCCTGGCTATTAGAGTGTTTATATAGCTATGTAAATATTTTAATGACAGATTATTCAGGGACTAAACAGCTGTAAACATCAGGTTTCCAGCCATAAAGTGGCTTGGTTGGCAAAGCTGTGGTAGGTGTTATTGAGTTTTATGTGTGCTGCGGAGAGGTGCAAAGTGTCAGAGCAGGAGCGGATAGCAGATCTTGGAAGATAACGAGAGCGTGATGAAGAGCTGGACTTTGCTGGCTTCGCAGCGGAGCAGGGAACGTGTCCTGTGTCCAGTCAGCTTTTAAAAGTTAGAGGTAAAAGTAGCAGTATTCCTTCCTGCACATATCTTGAACTGGGTGATTCCTCCTTGCAGATGTGTTTGTGGGTTGATCCCCTCAGCAACCTGGGAGGCATCATCTGGCCCCAGCTGTGAACAGAGGAGGTGTGTGAGGGGCCCAGGAGAATTTGCAGCAGAGCTAGGAATAGTTCCAGTCCCCAGTTGTTTGTGACAAGACATGCTTCTCTCCAGGGATAGTTTGTAGCCCTGTTTCGCGTGAAAGCATCTTGGTTTGGGCCTCCAAGAGGTTTGAACATTGCAGCATGGCCTGCGTACAGGCCTGAAGGAGCTGTGCCGAGCACTGCATTCAGGATTAATCCAATAAATGCCCAATTATCATCTCTGAAAAACCATCTACAAGATATTTGTTGCTCAGAGCACAGCTGCTGTTGCGAGTTGGAAGTGAAGTCCTGTTGACTGTGCTAGTGCGTGACAGAGGAAGGCAGGCAGCGGCACTGATGGTCACGGCAGTAGCTGGGAAGCGAGATTTTTCCTTGCTGTAGACCAGGCCTCATCGTTCTCTGTTTGTCATCTGTCTGTGTCTTGCGGCTTTAGGAGGTGAACGATGGTTGTGTTGCCTGGAGCTTGCAAAGGGTCTGGATGAGAAGGGATTGGGGGGAACCAGCGCGTTGCTCCGTCGTTGGTTTCTGCGATCTTTGGGGCACATGGGCTCTGGTACCGCATCCAGAGTCAGTGTGGTCTGTAGCAACGTGGCTTGGGGCAACATGGCTTGAGGGCTTTTCTGTTTGAATCGCTAACCAATGTTGCACTGTTTTGGAGGCAGCAGGGCTTGGAGAGGCAAGAAGGGTGACTCACCCTACTGGCACAGCAGTGGTCTACGAGCTGCTGGGAGGCAGAAGCAGGCTGTGAGCCGCCTGCCTGCGACACCACTGTGTCGGTGGGCGATACGCACAGGATGCTGAGCCCCAGGTGCTTGCTCTGCTGGCCGAGGCCAATTCTGTCCTGGGAGCTGCGTGGGGGGAGGAGGCTGTAGTGTCTAGGCAGTGCCTCGCAGCTCCATCCTGCTGGCTGAGCAGGCACCCAGAAGGCATGCAGAGGGATATTTTTAGGGTTCTCACAAGGGTGTTGGAGACTCAGGCTTTGAGCATGTGAAACTTAACAGTGATGATCCTGTCCAGATGTTGACTACAGGGAATTGCATAAGCTAAATGTCAGCTCCCTCAACTCTTGGGATTGCGTCTAAACAGTTCCCTCGAACCGGGCTAGATTTGCTGGCTCTGATCATGGGCTAGTTGAGCACCCTGAAGCGTTGCTGTCTTTGGAGGGAGACCTGACATGGAGCTTGTGGCTTGGTGACAGACTAAAATCTCTCGGTCCTGGGCCCGAGTCAGAGATAATGATCCATTTCATGGCTCAGGGCTTTCTGCAGGGCTGACTGTATTCCAGCTCCCTCCAGATCAGACCAAGTGGTGTCTTATTGCTTCCCTCAAACAATGCACCATAGTTTGGGGAGGTGGAAGCGATACCTTCAGCCCTGTCTGTGTTTCCAGTATAGCCATACTGGCTGTCCCAGCAGCCCTGTGTCTCTCCCAAGCTGGTAAAACCGTGGTTCTGCTGCAGCACCCTGCTCCTCGCTGCGTCTGCCAGCCCGGCCGCGCTGCCCAGGGTGTGAAGAGCCTTTGCCAATGAGAGATCTGGTTATGTCTATACCCACTGGGCTCTCCCTGTGCTGATCTGACCTCTGGGTAATGTCCCTTTCTTCCTGTGGGTCTGTTTTCACAAGCTTCTTAACACTGGTTACTTGATTGCCAGTTAGTTGAGGGTTGCCAAGACATCTGTAAAGCCTGGCCTGGCCACTTTCTGTCCCTGGGTCTAGAGTCTCTTTGTTTGCCCTAAGTTGATCTTTAGAGTAAATCAGACTCTCATGGTCTGGAACAAACACCAGTGTGTCCCAGCCAGCCATTAGTTTTAGCAATTCCTAATTAATTGGCAAATGATTCAGAACAGCATGCAACTGTACCCTGA